CATGGAATTGAAAGGTATAGAAGTTTTTTGGACGAACATTCGAATATGTCTCAACAAGGAGCTGCACTTCAAAATTATAATAATGAATTAGTTAAATGTTCGTAGTTCTTTTTTGAATTATTAATAAATTTAATTTGATTTTATTGTAGGTATTGAAGATTTATGTGGCAAACGTGATGAATTACAACGTCAAATATTAATTGAAGAAGAAGATAAACATAAACTTGAAAATGAAATACGTTTAGCAAGTGAAAAATTAGCTCGAATCAATGAAAATCTAGCAAAAAAAATTACAGCAAGAACAGAATTTGATCGAACAATTAGTGAAACAGAATCAGCATATATGAAAATTCTTGAAAGCTCACAAACATTACTTAATGTAAGATTTAATTATCCAAATTTATTTATTTATTTATCTTTTTGTTTTTCATTTCAAAGGTTCTCAAACGTGAATCAAATTCACTTCGTACTAAAGTTGATGAATAGATCTGATAATAAATAATTATTTATGTTTATCTGTTATTCGATTTATATAATTTCTTTATATGTATATGAACAATAAAAATACAAATAGGATCTAATTTATAATACAAATGTTTCTAGTGCAATTAAATTAATGTATAATGATTTGCAATAACTTTTCAAGTTTCAAATGAAAAGCATGTTTAGGACAGTTGCTCGCAGAAACTACTTCACTATGTATATGTTGCAGTAGAAATTACAATGCAGGAAAATTTCAAATTAACCTAGGAAAAACCAAAAGTTCAGTTGTTTGTTCAAGAATTCTTTTTTATGCGTCAATGATCGACTACCTAGTAGTAGGAAATAGATGTCTGAGTCTTCCCTTTATAATTTCCTCAGTTACTCGTTACCATTAGGTACCTATAAAAATAGAACAAATGAAAATTTCCGTACTTCACTGTACTTTGTCATACTTCATATTATAAAATGCGTTGAAGTACTGTGAAGTATTTGGACTTTTATATTGGATAAACTCATAGCCAGTACATCTGTAATATTTCGAAGATAACTCTGAAAGATCCTTGAAGTAGTATAGAATTTTTTTTTTTTTTTGCATATAACTATATGATTTGCGAGCAATTGGCCGTCTCCCTTTTTAACATAGTTTGATCCTATTGTATTTATTCTTCTGAAAAAGACGCCATCATTAATTATTAAATTTTCAATGTCAAATAACAATCATGTTTAAGTGATGCATCCAAGCATCTTATTATTATTTTTTTTAGTGAAGAGAAAAAAGGTGAACTATAACGGATTAATAGATTTACGAGAAGCTACACACACACGAATTACACTACTGTTAGAAAAGAAAGACAATATGTACGAGATTGCGAACAACCGCATTATACAATATAAATACAATTTACAAAAGATTGAGATATTAGTAACACACACACACACACACACACATTTACAGTAAATAATCATTTATTATCATTTGTTTTTAATTTTTCATATACACGCGCAAATAAATCTTTATAATTTGTTGGTTCATAAGACGATTTTAATTGTTTATTTTCTAATGAAACTTCATCATACAATGATAAATCATGTTCTGGTGGAGAATAAATACTTGATAGTATTGATTTTGTACTATCATTCGAATATTTTTCGAATAATTTTCGATAAGAATTCAATTCATTTTGTAATGAATCATTATCATCACGACGTTGTCGTTCAAGTTGAGTTACACGATCGATTAAATAACGTTTATCTTGTTCCGAACGATAAAGTTGATCATTCAATGTCGTACATTCAATTGTTAATGAATTAATACGTGATTTAAGTTCACTGAGATGTGTCTTAAAAACCGGTGCAGATGAAATATCGAATAAATTCGAACATACCGGTGATTCTAAGGGTATTGGCGAATTAGAGACTGTTTTTAAACTAAATGAATTTGAACGTTGTCGTTTGCTTGATACAGGTGTTGAGAAAATTGGAGTTGGATCAGAAGATTTCGCTTGAAAACATGATGAAAATTGTTTGACTCGAAAATTTCCATATTCATGTTCAATATCATTACATTGTTGACGTGTTTTTTCACAGAGATCAAATAATCTACAAAAATAAATGTAAAAAAAAAACAAAAAACAAAGATTTTTGTTTTGTCTACTCTTTAATATGTTGTCGATTTTTTTCATTTTCATGTCGTTGTAATGCAAGTTCTTGTTCAAGATCAAAATTAGTTGCATCTAATAGTTCAATTTGTTTACATTTTACATCAAATTGTTCACGAATATAAATAAATTTCGAATGTAATAACTAAATTAAATAAGAAAATATTCATCACTCAATTCTTTATTTTAATCTATCTCTTACTTTCATATCAGATTGTTTATCATCCATTTGTTTTTGTAGGACATGAATATAATTTTGTAATTCATGATTACGTTCAAGTAAACAGCGACCAAGTTCAGCTGCTAATCGAAGATCTAATTAAAATTCGATTATTTAATTTTTATTTAATGAAAATAATACCTTGTTCAAAATCATCTGAATTTGATGATGAAGAAAGTAGAGTATTATTAAGATCAAGTTCTGCACTCTCCATTATTGATAAAAGCATTATAGATGCTTGAACATGTTGATTGATCTGAAATAAGTAATGTTTTTGTGATAGTGACTGTGATGAAGCCATGCTTATTCGATTTGTCTCAATGAATAGATTCAATTGTTCATATTTCGAAGAAAGAAAGAAAGAAAGAAAGAAAAAAACGACGCAGTTTAGATTCTTCTTTTTCGCTATGAAATTGTTGGAGGTGGAGACTAATTAGAACAATAGAGGACAATGACTATCGAGACATACCCGAAGGAGAGGGAAGAGTAAAAGTATTTTTTGAACAAACAATCAGTTCGTGTTCTTACCTGATCTTATATACATATGACTAAAGCAGATACAATTTGATGTGCTTTCGTTTACAATGTCTATGAAGCGTATAGGCAAATATGTACACTGTTTTTCTTTTTCTTTACAATTTATCGTTATATGTGAGAAAATATATACTTATGCATGATTTCTACCAGAAAGACAAGGAAAATTATTGGTAGTGAAAGAGTGTCGAGACGAATATATCGTAGATATAGTTTATCATTGTCACTGCCGTCACTCATCATATACATAAATTGTATAGTAAAACAAAGAGAGGAAGGGAGGAAGGAAGAAAATGAAAAATAGATTACAAACATTTCTACTATTCGTTACTATCGTTTACTTAAAGATTATAAAAATCTAACAGGCGTATAAATAAATAGTTGTACAAGTGTTTATAAAGTAAATCGAATAGGTATATATATATGTTGAAACATAACATTGCATACAGACGACTGATCGATATCATCTTATTTTTTCTCTCTCTCTCTCACTCTCATTTTCTTTTACATAATAACTTCTATGATGATTACTACGGCTGCATTTTTACTGACATACTCTAATTAGTACGCACGTTACTTCAAGTAACTACGCTATGCTCAGTTGACCTCGAACACCTCATGATATATATATAACAAAATTATATTTATTTTTTTTTGTATGTCATCATCTTCATTTTCTTATACATATAGAATTGATGAATTCTATATACCGTATACATACAATAGTGTGGGTGGAAATTTGTCACTGTTAATTCTTCATTTATTTTTTCATGTTATTATTAGTTTTTGTAATCAAGTAGAATAATGACCTTGACTTACTCAAGAGGAAAAAATAAGATAACATATGAGTAAAACAAAAAATCAAATGCTTCCAATCAAGTTGAATAGATTTCTTTCATATTTAATATGCAATAGATACTCATTATTTTTTTGTATTTATTAGATCTTTACGTTAGAGTAAATACTTTTTATGTACATTCAAGGAAAAAAAACATAACTTTTATTGAATCATATATAGATCTAGATTAAGAAAAAAGGAGTTAGTTAGCATGCATTTTTTTTGTATCGAAAAAAAAGTCACTTACTCTTGTCATCAGTATAATATTCAAATAAATGTCGTATATTTTTACATATATATATATATTCTTTGCTATAGGATAAGAGAACGAGTATCTATTTTTTTAGTAAAGGATGAGAGATGAATACTAATTTCTATAACATCGGATGCTTGTTTTTTTATTGAGAGTAATTTCACAATGTCCAACCAATATGAATGATAGATATATATTCATATCTTGTCATGGTATATCGACTTTTTTTTTTCTTTGAAGAGAAAATTAATCTGCCGTAGGCAAAATTAACTTTTTATGACGTTTGATAAACATAAGCGCAAAGCATACTGTGTTTTTATGCCTTATATATTTTTTGATCTTACTGTCTGTGTTTATTTAATTAAATGTTTTGATGGAAAGCATTTAGACAAGTGTAGCTACCAGACGATAGGGAGACAATTTATTTTTTTTAAATATTTTGAATGACTGTATTCAATTGATATGATTATTAAGTAGAAGATAAAAGTCTAATGCTTATGGGAAATATATAAACTTGACTAATATCATTAAAAGTTGCAAGTATTTACATTCGCAAAAACATCCAATTACCATGATAAAGAAATATAGTGACTTATATGAAATTTGTATATATTCATATTTAATGGTATGATTCACTATTGTATATTAGAATTCGTCTAACTCATTTGATATTTTTGTGTAGATTACACATATTTTCTTCATTAAGAAAAATGATTTATAGGTAATTACTTTTTCTATAAAAACAAAATAATCTTTTACAATATATATTCAAAGTTAAAATCTAAAGAAGATGAAGAAAAAGGAGTAAACTAATTATAATGGACAACAATGAACTTTTGATATAATTTGCTATCGATTTTGATGATCTATTGCTTATGGAATTGATTTACCTGTTATTGAGTCTATGAAGAATTCTTAACCTCTTCAGCATTAATTTTGTTTTTTTGAAATTAACTAGTAAAACTTTTAAAAAATAGCTTTTGAGGACACGTACGTTTTATTGTTATGTGTAGAAACAAAAAGTAATAAGATAAGAAATTATTCTATATGGCCAATTTTTTCACACTGAGAACAATCCTTATGAATTACGTGATATAATTTTGATAATTTTTTTTTCATCCCACTTTTACATATTACTCATATAGAGACATGTGGCATATACTTATTCTGTTCTTGTTTCGTTCGTTTTCATCCTGTGTGTCGTGGCTAGTCAGATTCCTAATAAACTAAACTCATGTTTTTTATTTACTGAAAAATTACTTATATACATGTAAATATTTGTGTGCTTCCACATATTGCGGTTGACTAAAGAAAGAGTAGCAACTAACTTAAAAATGGCAAGCTTGATAGAGCATCAACACTTAATATGAGTGATAACACAGAGATACACAGTTGATATGAATCTTAAGAACCGGTAGAGAGAGCTCCAGTCAGTACAGGATGTTAAAACCAACATAGAGAATACAAAGAAAACAGAGTTAAGGAAGTGTAGTCTTCAACTTTCATTGGAAACTAATAGTGTAATAGACAATCTGTAACTCCTCAGAGCACTTTTTGAACTATCGCTCACATTATAATGCGAAAAATCATGAGAAGAAGATACGTTATTTATCCGTATATCATCTACAAAGCAACATCAATAATTTTACTTTTACAAAGCTTTTAAAAATTAGTTGTAATAATATTATTATGTTTTTGTTCACTAATATTTATGTTGCATAATTAAAAGATTAAGAGGATTACAACTAATTTCATAGCAGTATTATCCCTATCAATAGCAATTAAACATCGATTCTTGGATGTTAATTATATTTTTCGTAACTATATCAATAGTAGATTTAGAATATTTTCAAGATGGATAAACGTGAATAATGAAAAAATAGATCTGAATCATTGAAATATAGGCCAGAATAGAATATTTTTCTTATCTAAGGTTTTCTTTCATCATAGCAACAAAAACAAAGAAATTCTTCGATTCCTTTTCTTAGTCAACATTACTACTAGTAGACAGAATAAAAGCTCTCTTTTACAACACAGCACACGACCCTGAAGAAAACTTACAATATATTTTTTTGTGTTCTGTTATTCCTGTTCTCTTCCTCTATTTCCTTTCTTTTTCAAGCTGCCGTTGTCATCATATACGCACATACATGCGTCAAACAGAAAAAGAAGGCGAAGACAAAAAAAAAGAAAAAGAGCAAGATTAGTCAGCATTGTCGTCAATAAAATATTTAAATAAGTGCGTTTTTCTTTTTTATTTATTACTTATACGCTTTAATATTACAATACAGATATAATAATGAGTGGTTATCCATATGGAAATCAAGGTGGAGGTTATCCACCACAATATCCCGGAGATAATAGTGGTTACCCAAATTATCCCCAAAATACTGGTTATCCGAATTATCCACCAACTACTGGTTTTCAACCACCACCACCACAAATGCCAAACTATAACGATAATCAATCGTGTGCATCTTTATATGGAGCACCAAATACAATGCCAAATAATAATAACTATCCACCAGCACCGTATGACTCATATGGAGGAAATCAGATGCAAAATGCATCGTATGGAATGGGTCCTGGTGCGGGCGCTGGTGGCAACTATTGTCCACCACCACCATCACAATATCCTGGTGGACAAATGCAACAACCTATGTATAATCAACCACCACAGCAATATGGAGGTACACAGAAAAAAACATGTTTTAAATCAATAAATAATATTTTATTTTAGGATATGATAATTCACAATATCCTCAACCTCCACCACCTCATGCAGGCGGTGGTATGTATCCTAATATGCAAGGAGCACCACCCTATGGTGTAAGTAATCATTTATTTTTTCAATATTTTATACATGCATATATTTACAGGGAGGTGCACCATCTTTTCCAAATCAACAACCAGGATTTTTACCACATGAACAATCATCAATGTTTCTAGCTAGTTTAGAACAATATCAAGGAACAGTTATTCCAATAGCAAATTTTAATCCCGAAGCTGATTGTCAAGCACTCGGTCATGCTATGAAAGGCGCAGGTAAATTTAATATCACCAACTATTTCAATTGCAATATTTAATTTTTTTTCTAGGTACGAATGAACGTGCTTTAATCGATATTATTGCTAATCGATCAAATGTACAACGTCAACAAATTAAACTACACTATAAAACAATGTATGGTGAAGTACGTATTCTATTAATTCAATAAATTATATAATATGACTAATAATCATATCAATTTAGGATTTAGTTAAAAAAGTTAGTGGTGAATTAAGTGGTCATTTCAAAGAAACTATCAATGCTTTATTCGATGCACCGGCAAATTATGAAGCATGGGCATTACATGAAGCTTTACATGTTAGAATTTAATTTCGATAAATAATTGATATTTAATTTAAAGTTTTTCTTAGGCTGGTAAAGAAGGAGCCATACGTGAAATTTTATTAACAAGAACTAATGCTGAAATTCGTGCTATTAATGAAGCTTTCAAACGAAGTAAGATTATTCAAATGATTTATCTTTAAATTAATCATCATATTAAAATTTCAAAATAGCCTATAATAAAGATCTCGAACATGAGATTAGTCATCGTATACGTGGAACAGATTTTAAACGTATACTTGTGTCTGCTGTACAGGTAAAAGATTATTTTTATATATTAGATAAAGTATATTTGCTTATTTTTTTTTCAAGGCTAATCGTGAAGAATTAACTCCTCAACAAATTCAACAAGCTCGTCAAATGGGTATTGAAAGTGTAATCGACCGGTAAAAACATCTGTCTCATATACTCGAAACTATTTTTTCTATATATATCGATAGTAATCGTGCTATGCAAGATGCTGATGCTTTATATAAAGCTGGTGCTGGTAAAATAGGTACAGATGAAAAGACTTTCAATGCAATATTTGCTCGACGTAGTTATTATCAACTTCGTGCTACTTTTGAAGAATATCAACGTGTAAGTTAGTTTATATGAGAAAAAGTAAATAATTAATTTTTCTTTTAAGAAACATGGAAAAGATATTGCAAAAGTTATTCGATCAGAATTTTCTGGTGATACACAAGATGCTTATCTTGTTTTAATAACATGTGTTCGTGATCGACCTTCATTTTTTGCTGAACGTATTCATAAAGCTGTGAGTGGTTTAGGTACAAAAGATTCAACACTTATACGTGTTATTGTTACACGTTCAGAGGTAAAAATTTTATTTCAAAATGAAAAGATAAATACCACTGAAATTTACTTTTTTTTTGTTAGATTGATCTTGCACAAATTAAACAACGCTATCAACAGATGTATAATCGTTCATTAGCTCATGATGTTGCTGGTGATACATCAGGAGATTATGAACGAGTACTTTTATCAATTCTTAAATGAAAACTGTGATGAATTAATTCAAAAGAACTTTTACATTTTATTTTAAACAATATATATTTAAATAAATTTATGAGCTAAATAATGAAAGTTATAGTTTGTTAATCTTAAAGAATAATATACACTTGTATAATTGTCGCTTGATAGCAGATTGTTTTTCGATTAAATACATTGAGTAGATATACGAAATTTTGAACTAAGATTTGAATATGTCTTGAAATCCGGAGAGTAAAAATCCGGAAAACGAAAAGTTCGGAAAACAAAAATCCGAAGAAGAAAAAATTCGGAAAATTTCTGATATCGTTCTAACAGAAGAGAATGATAATATTCATTCATAAATGTTTATGGTTGTCTACGTCAACCATAATTATCGTCTACCGAGTACCATTCTAATTTACTGTACTTTGCACTTCTATTAGTAAATATACACAGACATGCAGTTTGAGAGTGTAGGCGTTGTATCGATGCTTTATCCACACACATACCTTCTAGCTAAAATCAAAACACTTGCCAATCGAAATGTGACAGTTCCAATTCGAAAGAACTGAACCTGAGCTTTCGTAGTTCTACTTGCCAGATATTTCCAGGGCGATACGATCGATCGCGATGAACATCTCGTGGGACTTTCTTTATTGGTAGCTAGTAAAAAGTGTATTACGTCACTTCTCTTCAAATCAAATGATTTTTCCATTTCTTGTACATGCTTCTTTGGTAAATAAACTGTTGAATCTTATTTTACTCCAATTAACTCTGTTAATGCTCTCTTGTAAGATTAGAAACTTTGTATTTAGTATAAAAAACAGCAGTAGCCAACGAGTGATTCTGTTGATCATGTGCAAACGTAGTCTGCATCAAAAAGATTATGTTTTATATGACTCATTCAAAGTTATATCATTTTCTTGCAAAACATATTGATTCTCTTACAGTTATTCTTTAAGTAGACAACTTGTCAACAGCATTGAAGGACGATATGACACTGTATATACATATTAGTGATTGATAAACTTGTATCGATCAACGTCACTAGTAATATGAGATTTGATGAAAAATGATATCAAAAATATTAGTTTATGATAATATAAAAGTAAATCGAAATAATTATAAGTAAATATTAATACGCCTTTTTTTAATTCATATTTGATGGAGTAAGATAGAAAGCTACAATTGTCGAATAGTATTGGTTATAGAATATATTATACCGATTTGATTTTTTTTGAAGAGTTTTCTTATAGTAGATTTCTAACATTGATATATTATTCACTTGAAGATGAAAATAAAATTATTGACTTAGGAATCATATTTCGCAAGTTTTTGCTTCTATCTAAGCTCAAAACTACAATACATATGATCTAAATAATTTATTTTTATTCTTGCTTTTTGCGGGACAAAGACATAACGTACTAGGTGTCCCGAACATCTGGTAATTTGTCCAGATGTTCGAAATTGACTTTTTTTTTACCATTTTTATCGGGAGTCCGTAAAACATGTTGGTCAGGAAATCATAATTTTAAAAAACACAGGGAAATCGAAACGAAATGCTCCACAATATGCGAAATATTATCACGAAATCTGGTGTGGGAGTGGGTGTGTAGTATGAGAGAAGAATGACTTATACATCCACATCCATACCCATTCTAATACTCTGCTTGTTTTAAATCTTTGTCATTCCGAAGACTTTGTATATTTTTATATGTCGGGAAATCGTAACGAACATCTCTTCAGGGAAACCGTAAAAAAAAGTTGGTGCGTTATGTCTCTTTCCCCTTTTTGCTACAAAAAATATTCACAGTCTAAGCTTTTATATGAAAACTTATTTTAATATACAAAATTATATTACAAGTATGATATATCTCTAAGAACAAAGATTGATTTGATAGACTTTTTAATATATTGTTCTGTATGGTCTAGCGAAATTTTCTATAATAGTACCAAATATCAAATTGATATTTGAATATACTCCGAATATGTAAATAACTTCAACGATCATTTTTGAAACTTTATAAATCATGAATTATTATATTTAATTCGATCGAATTCCATGTGATTATCACGAATTCAATTTCGTTTCAACGACATCTATGTCGATCGAACATTGTGTATTGATAATTGAAACCAGGGTAACCATACGTTTTTTAATAGAAATGTGTTGAAAAACACTCATGTTTCATTCATTAGAAAAACAAGATGCTTTTCGGTAAGAAATTTTGCTGTTCTTTCGTAGTGCTTTTGCATGATTTGCTTTACTCAGGCGATGAACCTCCAGCGAAAATTGTTTTCGGCACAACCCTCAATCGTCCTACGTTTCCTACTGATATACAGCATGATTGTTTTGGAAATTATCAAACACCATTACGAGGTGTACCAAATCTGTAAATTTCTTGCTTGAAGTAGTTCTATATATATATTCTTCTTCTGCTTTGTAATAAAAGTGGGCCAGGTTCCTACGAAAATGATGAAAAGACAACATTTCAATATGTACTTGATCATCAACCGATGAGTAATCGTGGTTATACATTCAATGCACGTACATCAAAACGAAATGTTTTTCCTACAAAGGTGATTCACAGCTATGATTTCTTTTGGTTTTCTTAATAGTAAAAGATAGTTCGTCGGTTTATTTTACTTGTTTAACAATAGAATGATGTACCAAGTCCAGATACATATCAAATGGATTTAACTAACTTACCGGAAAAGAAACACTCATTTAAACCATTCAATTTCGGTGGTGACCGATTACCAAGTCTTGCTAAACGTACTAAAATACCTGGGTATTTATTTTAATTGATATCTTATATAAAATTTTTTTTTAATAATAATTAAGACCAGGTAGTTATGAATGTGATGTTAAACAGAATCGTCAAGTACATATGCGTCATAGTTTCGGTGGACGTGTTGGTTTAATACCAGTTGTTAAAACTAAATGTATGCCGACAAATGAAGATAAAGTTTGAGACTAAGTTTATTTTCTAATAAAATAGTAGTACAATTATTCTAGTGTGAAATCTGTCAAGAAAAACCTATTGGCGATTACTATCAATATCGAAAAGAAATACTTTGTGCTTCTTGTTTTAATTTCAATTGGCAATGGCAAGAAAAATTTAAAAGAGCGTCAGTAAAACTTCATCAGTATTTTTCAATTGAAACTTTTTTGATTTCTATAGATATCTTCAAGCCTTTCAAAAAGTTCGTGATTGTTCGGATATACATGAACATGGTGGTACGACTGCTCGAGTTCAGGTTAGGATATAATCTATTTAATTTTTTTCTAAATTTCTTTGATTTTTAGTTAGTCGATGATCGACGTGTAAAGAAACTTCAACGTAAAGAAGCTTATTTAAGTCTTTATTGGCCGTGAAAAATATTTTTTCTTATTTGAATAAAAATAAAAAAATTTTTGTCTTTCATTCTTTTCCTTTTTGTTTACGATGTATGTTAAAAATAATAATTGAATAAGAAGAAAATCTAAGTAATCATGTGATTGACAACATGTGTCTGTATATTTTATTTAAAATACTACTGAAAAAAGAAAATTCATATAAACATCAGTTCAATCATTGAGCATTTCTTTGAGAAATAACGTGTGCAACATTACGTTCGAGGGTATCAATTCGTTGGCCACAATCATCAACTATGAACAAAAAAGAATTTTATTTGATTTATAAAATATTATTTATACTTCTAGACATAATTGAGTCACTCATTTGCCCAAATCGATCTTGAATTTGTGTGATTGTTGTTTGAACCTAAGAAGATAGGATTTTAAACGATAAGAATAATTCGAAATTTTACTAAATTAACAAGTTCTTGAGCATTTCGAGGTTCAGGAAATGGAATACTGAGATTTGTTGTTGTTGCAGAATCGGTCATGATCAACACCGAGAAGAAACTGATGTATGTGTGCGTTAATGTTTTTTTCTATTCAAATGTTGATGAGAATTGGAGAGAAAAAAAGAATGACTGTGTATTTTGAAGTTGCATTACAATAATGCACATCAACCAAAGTCATTGCTATGCTTTGCGGTTTGTTTAATAGAAACGCAAAGAAGTAAAAAAAATATAAGTACTTCTTTTTTTCTTCTC